CACTTCGCATTTTGCTATTTCTTCGGGATGAAGGAGCCAAACTTTGAAAACTATCTGGAAGTACCCCTAAGCAAAGGTTCCTGGTGCGGCAGCAGTCCCCACGGCAGCTGTCGGAGCACCGGGAAAGAGGCTGGCATTCAGCGTGCCGTTGGCCTGGGGTCGACGAGATTTCGTCAGTTTGTAGATGCTGCATTAGGGATTAGGGGTTTAGGGTTTAGGGCATAAAGGGGGATTTTGTCATTTTGTCTTTGCTGTATTCTGGTACTGTCACAAACAGTCCTGTCTGACTACGTATATATTGACCATTGTACCCTTTTTCGTAGGTTGGCATACTGTATTTAACCCCAAACCCTAGAACCCAAACCCTCAACCCCTGAAGTCCTTGAGTTGACGAAAAGCCGCTACAGACCCTGTCAATTAAAACAACTATAAAGTAGCCCTTACCAGAAGCCCAAAAAAGGCAATGCCTGACAGAAAAGCAACAGGTTACTTACCCAGTCCCACCAAAAAGTAGATTCCTTAATGGGGGTTCCCATAAAGTACCCTTAGTAGTATAGAGCCCCAACTTAGGGGATCTACTTTCTAGATCCTCCCGGGGGTCTGGGGTGTCCTAGGAGAGCCGAAGACTTAGTTTCGGAGCAATGTAGAGATTGGGGTTTAGGGTTTCAGTTTATCAAAGAGGTGAAAAGTTGCTTGCTTGACTACCAAGACGACTTCTAGGTGGGGCCATTAAAGCCTTTGAAAAACATTAGTAAATAAGATCTTCTTAAGCTCAAAAAAGGACAATATAAAATCTCCCAAAGCCCTAGCTAGACTTGAACGGATTGGAGGAACATTGCTCAGACCCTCTCAACGCGTGGTCTGCTCCTAGGGTGGAGGCTGTGAGGGTTTAGAGTTTAGGGTTTAGGGTTTGGGGTTTTGAGGGTTTTTGCATTTTGGGGTTCAAGGGTTTTGGGTGTCCTTGGAGGATGTGTTCTCACAAGGGTTCAAGGGTTAGGCTGTAAAATGTTTTCAGAATGCTGCTTGGAGGATCACAGGACTTGGCACGTCAGGTTATAAGTACATGAACTGAGTATACATGAATATAACTCTTGTTACCTTCTTTATAAACCTGGTTACTAAGCCCCATGATCCTCCAGGTTCTATATGGGCTTCTTGAAAGTCTGGAGCTGCCCCATGTCAACTTGCCCTATGATGACGTAAGGAACGAGAGGAGGATATGGGCCGGAGATGTTGCTACTTGGACGGGGAAGGCATGATGGGTTTAGAGCCCAGGGACGCAAGACAGCGGTAAACAAATCGCAATTTGCTCCGATAAACCAGACAGCCGTATACTATAGTATACTATAGCATATTATAGCATTTTATAATGTATTATAGTATATTATGGTATATTATAATATGAAAGGCTATAAGCAAGCAACACCCGCCAACGTGCAGCTGGAGTTGCCGAGGCTGCGGTGACTGCAGCCTCCCGTGCTGCAGCATCCGCGGCCTGAGGGTGTCTGCAGTTATCTTCTTTCAGTACTTACTACTCACTGGCCCAAAACCTAATGAAATAAAAGTTGAAACTTTCAGAATCGACTACCTTATAAGAGTCCCAAAAGTTGAGAAGCTGAGTTTACAACAAATAAGACTATTGCCACGACCACCACCACTACTACTACTACTACTACTACTACTACTACTACTACTACTTTTACTGCTACTACTTCTACTGCTACTGCTGCTGCTACTACTACTACCACCGCCACCACGACGACGACGCCTACTCACCAGCACCACCACCATCACCACCTCGACGACGACGACTGCTACTTCTGCTACTGATATCACCGAAGGCCACAAACACCCCCCCCCCCCCAACAACGCCAAATAAGATCCCGATTGAAACCCTATTTGCAAAAGAGAAAGGACCTTACCAAGTCCCCTGATCCAGCAGATGTCCCTGAAACCTAAGCTCCCTAAACCCAAATACTCGCTGAAGATGGCATTAAAAAACGTACGGCCCCATACAATGCTGTTGCGAATGATCCATTCGCCGTGTACGGTAAGCAAAGCAAATTTCGGGGATTCCTTTTGCAGAAGCCAGATTCCGAAAATGCCAATAACCGCACAACCAATTTCCTGAAGCCACATTTATCTAAAATCGAACATAAAACCCAGTAGACTCCTAGGAAGCCTTGTACACCATCTCGCCGTGAAGTCCCTGACGTACAGTCGTGAGCCTGGGCCGCGTCCATGGCACTCCTAGCGGCCGCCACGGCTGCAGCAACGGCTTCGGCATCGGACATCCTCCGAAAAAGGATGGATGGATAGTTTAGGGTTTGGGGTCTGGGGGCTGTGAGCTTAGGGTTTGGGGCATGAAATACACGTATGATTGGGTATCTCCCTGTGTCTCTTGCCTCCGAAACTATCTAAAATACGGGGACTTTATTACTACAAGCTTCTTCGTCAGAAGAGCCTCCTACTTGCCCAGTCTCCGACGGGAATTCAGGCGCACCTTTGGGATTATGCAGGGTGATAAAACCCCAAAAAAGTTCAAGGTCTCCCACTCTGTTACTTGGGTGGTCGTCAAAATTATGGTCCCTTTTGGGGTCCCTAGCATAATACTGCACCTAATATTTAGGGTACCCAAAAAAGGATCATAATTTCGACAACCACGTACTTTACTTAGACAACGAGTTTTTGAATAGGAAGCGAGGCCAGCGGCTTCCTAATCTAGGATACCCAGTAACCTAAGAATAAAAAGGCCTCTCTTTTTGGTATTGGGTAACTTTATAAGGAACCTAGGACTACAAAAAGGGAATAAGGGTACTACTGGGCATCCTAGTAATTGAGGCGACCCAGTATCGAAGCTCAGATCCCTGAGGGTCAATCCTATTCCCTAAAGTGAACTCCAGAAAGTTGGAATATGGTTTCAGGGTAGGATCCCCTTTAATTTACCATAAAGGGCTTAGGATAATGATATTCCAACTTTCTGGCTTCTACTGTAGGGTTTAGGGGGGCTTAGGGTGCGGGGCTTAGGGATGTTGGGGGGTTACAGGGATTGGGAGCGACTTATAACTCCAATTAAGGTACTTATAACTCAGGGGCTGAATACCCTAGCCCAAAAAAAGGTTAACCTCTCTTGGAGGATCATGGGACTTAGTAATTAGGGTTATAAGTTAGGGTAACTTTACTTATAACTACTTATAACCCCAATTAAGGTACTTATAACCATACTTAGTAAGTCCAACGATCCCCCAAGCTTGACTCGTAGTAGGATTATACCACAAAAGGTTAAGGGTTACCCTTGTCGGCCCCTAAGACTCCGAATCCTCAGGCCCCCCTCTTATAAGCCTTTATAGGAACTCTTACAGAACCCCTTACAAGAAACTCTTCTGTATTACTAAACCCTTATAGTACCTCTTTTAT